GCAACGATGTTCTTAGAGCAGACTGTGTCAACAATCTGTTCCATGCATATCATCTGTCCCTTGTTGCAGCCACCGAGATTGAATTAGCCAGAAGATTGAAGGAATTTTATTTTACTGTGACAGGATTAGATCAGTTTTGTTTAGAAATCCACTAACAGTTGATGAAGTTGTGAAGGTCCTTTGCAGGATTATATATTGCAGTTTTGAATATTCTTGCTGATTCAAGCTTGTAATCTCCTGTTTATTCAGCTTTCTGCTGAATTCCACATACAGCTTTATGCAGAGGATTCACGTGTGATTAAAGAGAGTTGGTGGCATGCAGATGGAAGGTTGTCTACTTTTGAACTAGATTCTGATGTCGTTTATGCTTTCCTGAATCCAACATCAAGGAATTGATTGTGTATACAAGATCAAACATCAATTGGTATCAAGGTTGTCATTGGCCCTGCAACTGTCGGCAATCAGATTTTCTATCCGGATTAGGGTCATTTATTGATCTACTCCTCGGCTGATAACAAGTGAAGGAACAACGCAATTCAACAACTGTGTTGAGAATTCTTTTCTTGAACTTCTTCAAAATTAAAGTCAACAGAAGCATCAAAGTCAGCATTTGTCATATGGTCGGTCTCAGCTGACACTTGGTCCTGGCAGTCAAATAAAGTCTGAGCCTGGAAATTGAAGCTGTCTTATACACTGATTTTGTTTCTGTGTTTCTGTTTGTATCTGATTTTGGACAGCATACAGTTTTGTTTGTAATTTGTTAACTGTCATTCTAAATTTGGACAGCATACAGCACAAAATTATATGGACCGGATTAAATGGATCGGTCATCCGAAAATTAGGAGTCATTTCTTGCCGCAAATATTCACTTGTGGCATACCATATATCGATCGATTGACATAATACATTCCCATAATGATGGTGTTTTTCCAAAATAAAACTTTGTTGTTCAGCATCTTCAACTAGCCATCTTTTAGAAGGTATTGTTAAAAGATCATCAATTCCTAATGAAATGGATGTGGTGGTAGCTTCCCGGAAACCTAGAAGTCTTTACTTCATCCAGGATATGTGATGTATATCCTATTCCATAGTGATTAAATAATTGACTAATAAGTCGTTTCATGGCAGTTTCATCTATCATTTTATTGTAATAGACATGAGTGGCCCGTTGTGACATTAGTAGAATTTGACAATGGGTTTGAGTCAGTGATTGGAAAACTTCCTTTTCTAGATCTTGATTTGCATAGAAATTCCGCAATTAATTCGTCCTAGGGCAAGACTCTCATTCCCGCTGGTTTTGCCAAAACCCCGGTACGACTTCGTCTATTCCTCGATAAAGAGAAATATGACCAAGAGTTGTTCGAATATATATATATATATAAAGAATTTCTTTTTTTATACTTCTTACTATTAGACGGTGTCCATAAATCTCATAATAGGTACCCAAAGATTCATAGTGAATTTCGATGGGAGCTCCTACCGCGTTGATCTAATCACCACCGGAACCACAAAGGAAAGGACTACCTAAAGTGATTCGTTTTTGCCAATAAGCTCCAATTACATCATAGGTATTACAAGAAAAGGGTTCTTTTTTTTGTATATATAGTTATTATCTTCATTTTGATTGTTTCTACGATTACATGGATTATACGTATTTGCACAAATACCCCGACGATTTCCATTCGTTAAGACAGAGTCCACTAAGCATATCTTGAGTTGGTGCGGAAATGGGATCTCTAGTAGTTGGAGACAAAAGATTCATATTAGAAAACATAAGTAAACGTGCCTCTGATTGAGCCTCTGCAGATAAAGGCACATGAACAACATTTAATCCCCGTCAAAGTGTGCATTAAAGCCCTTACAAACTAATGGATGTAAACAAATAGCACGCCCTTCCACTAAAACGGGTAGGAATGCCTGTATACCTAATCTATGCAGAGTAGATGCTCTATTCAGCAATAGCAATACACAGGATGGTCATCTAGAATTCTCTGAAGTATTTCCCATAGAATTGGTTTTTTTCTGAATTTGACTCTTAGCAACTCCTATGTTCGAAGCAAGATGTTTTCTGATTAGGTCACAAATTACAGATGTCTTGAAAAGTTCTAACCTAAAAAACCTGCTAGTGGAGAAAGACATCATGGGGATAAGAGGCATGGGGCTAAAAAGAGAGAGCCAAAAAAGGATCTTTCGTGTATAATCCTACATAATATCGAATATTGCTATTTCGCGAGGCAATCCACATCGTTGTAATGCAAGTGAAGGGCCCACGACAATCATTGATCACCCTGAATAATCAACCCGTTTACCAAGCAGTCTCATGAACTCTTCTTCTTTGCCATCAGTTACATCTGAAAGCGACTTGTAAACTCTATTACGATCATCCCTCATTGGTTGTCTACAAATTCCATTATCAAGAAGTGCATCCATAGCTTCTTGTAACAATTTTTCCTGATATATTATTAATTCTTCTGGTGTAGTTATACTTGTTGTTAATAGATCTGTAAGAGTATTATTCCGATAGATAATTCTTCCATAGATTTCGTTGATATTCGAGGTCACTAGTTTATCCTCATTTATATGATATATTGGTCTCAACTCAGGAGGAAGAACTGGTAATAAACACAAAACCATCCATTTGGTTCTATATTTGTTCGAATAAAATGCTTAGCCAATTCCATGAGTCTAAGCAAAAAATCTTTTCTTCTTCACAACTTTTCGATCTTCCATTCATTCCCCGTGGATTCCTCTTCCTCTAATTCTTTCCATTCTATCAATGAATAATCTATAATCTATAATAATTCGTAAATCTAGATTGGCTAATTGTTGTATGATAGAACTACCCCCGGTAGACATCTCTCAGTTTTCACCCAATGGAAGAGGACCAGACGCATGATCCATGAGCTTGGCCGCCCGCTGTCGGCTCTACGAACTAACAAGGGGTCGGTAGCGAGAGATCAAAAGGGGTGGTCGTAGGCTGGAGGGGGCTCGTCGGCGGTAACGACAAGAATACGCCCCTAAGGATCTAGCTACCTGAATGCCCAAGGTAGTATTAATTTTCCCAAAGAACACAAAATTTCGAAACTACATTCTCTTATTCTCTCTATCATCCCAAATTTCTCCAAAACCTAGTAAACTAGAAACAAAATTAAAAGACACTGCTTAAGGCCGCCTTTTAAAACGATAATCATGATGTTTTCTCCTAAATCATAACACCTAAATACTAATTTAGATACAACTTGAGAAATCCCATTCACCTAATTTTCATATATATTGGCATGGTATAATTTCAATTAATTTATTAGTTTTACTTCAAATATAATCAATTACAGACATTTCGTTATCTTACTTCACTTCTTAAGAAAGGGAAAAAATTATGTTAAAAGTTTATTAGGTCAAGTTTCTTCTATTCTGATTTAATCACTAACTTAGCTCTTGTTGAAACTAAATTTGAAACCTTCTACATTTTCCTACGCAAAACCTAGAACATAGGACAAGATATTGCCAATAATGTTAGATTTTGGTCTTCCATTAGATACAGTAACACTTGGCAAATATAGATTGTTACTGAAAACGATATAATCCATTTCAACAACTATCAAGTCTAGTACGTGCTCATTTGTAATGGCAATCACAAGATAGCATCCTTACATAAAACATACCATTTGCACACACAAACACATTTATACATGCATAGGACCTATTTCTAATCACAAGTGCAACTATACAGAATAATTTACTAATTCATTCATGGTCTTGATAATTAACTCCATTATACTGAAATGGTAAAGAAGAAACAAACAAAAACCAAATAGTCTCGATAATTATTGCAATAGTCCGCATCTCAATTTTACTGAAAGCAAATGAACGAAAACCAGAGGCACCATATGTATGACTAAAGTGAATATAATCAAAAAGGACAATCAATCAGCTAGAGCAAAATCTGTGAAGCAACTAGAAAACGAGCAAGAGAGGGCTCCAATAGATGCATACCATTGACAGTAGACCAGGTCCAGTATGCTTGGCAATGAAATTTTCATCCTCGAACTTACTTCCATATATGGACACACATCCACTCCCATCCCCCTGCAAAGAAAAGTGGACCTCAACACTCCAAGATTTTGATTTACATAATGATCAACTAGATAAAAGTACTCAGATAATTAAAGTTTGTCAAAAATATTTGAAGATTTGAAAAGGAAGTGGAGAGTTTGAGACATAAAAAAAAGAAAAAAATAATGTGTTCAAAAGGCATAAAGAACGGTTATATAGTAGAGGCAATAAGGACATATGCGAGAAAAATAGGTTAAAACAAACAAGAACACTAAAGTTGAGGATAAAATATGAAATACTAAGCAGCCTAAAACAATGTACATAATGATGATTGCCTTGATCATCAATGTCCCTAACTACACTATCTATATTTCTCTATAAGGCGTCTGAGGAGGTGATTGCCTTGATCATCAATGTCCCTCGCATTAAGCCGAATTGGTTTTCCATCACCTCCCTTCACACCAATCCAGGCTTTAATCAACCTCTCCCATAACTCATGGTGTGGTTAAGTAGCTTTAAACCATCATAATTGTCGCAACTCTGCATGTCCCCTTAATTCTCATAAAGCAGCAGTAGTCTTGAGGATGACGTCAAAGAGCTCCGCGAGCCATTGCGTATCCGCCGCCTCCACGCACTACCACGCCTCAATAGAGATATGACCAAGACCTATGGCCTTATCCCTCCCCATTTTCCATAGACCCCCCTTCACTCCCTCTTTGCTAAATCTTCGGCAAAAATAGTAATTGTTTGACAATTGATGTCACCCCTCTCGCTTGATTCATTAAATAACAAATGAAAGTAACTACTCAATCTATCTTCAATGCCCTAGTCCTCCACTATATATACACACACATAGAGAGAGAATAGGAGAAAGAAAGATACAATCAACAGGTGTTCAAATCACCACAGGGCAGAGCTCCTATGACAAGCAACAAGGCTTACATGCCCAATCCATGACATGTAACATATTTCGTGTTAATAGACCTTCTGAGAAATGAAAACCAGACTCTTCTACATAATGGATTTTCATTTTAAAATGACTTACCATGCAAAAAGGAATACAAAACTTGTTTTAATTATGCGTGAGCAACAAGAGGTACAAGGAAGTTTTCACTTATTATTTAGTGCTTCTTCCTTGCTAACTATAAACAAATTCATTTTCTGAATTGCCTAGTACCATCAACCATGATGCTTTTTTCTTTGAACAAGTATATAATCCTAAATTTGAAGCATCCATCAACTTCTGAAATAGTGTAATGATTTTAACACCTTAATTCAGCTACCAAAGACGAAGTTGCCATTCAACTTTGAAAATTTTATGAGCACTATGGTTACATTCAAAAAAGAAAATGAGGTGAATGATCAAGCATCAAAGGAATGAAAGAACCAACCTTTAGAAAATCACCAGCTTGTATCATAAAATCCTTGATTATCCTATGAAATTGACATCCCTTATATCCCACAGGTAGTCCAGCTTTTCTGCCGGAACATTAAATAGATGAACAAAATAACGAATTAGTATAAAGCAGTTGAGAATTGTAACATATACTAAAAGCTTTAGAGAAGTAGCAAGAATATTATTTTCTACTCTATGTTGATTACAGCATAAGGAACTGTATATACAAGTAGAGGTTAGGAGATAGACTACAACTACAACTACAACTCCTAACAATATGGGATAAGCACTTATCTACAAAACTTTCCTATTAGAGTCTATCTATCTCTCTCCATTAATCCATATCCGATTACTGTTCTCTCAACCTGGATGGTATATGTTATATAATCCAAGCTTACCTTTTAATGTGTTGAATAGTGGTAAACTTAGTGTTTTAGTGAAGACGTCAGCCACTTGTTGAGTAGTAAAAATATAGGAGCTTTATTATCACACCACCATGTTTTGTTACATCATGATCAACTGGATTATGTGTCATGGCGATAGCAGCTTTATTATCACACCAAATAGTCATTGAGTGTAGTACCCGGATTCCTAGTTCACTCGGTAATCTTCTTAGTCAGAGTGCTTCACACACACCTAGAGCAGTAGCTTGTAGTTCGGCTTCAACACTGCTTCTTGAGACCACTCCCTGCTTCTTGCTTCGCCATGTGACAAGGTTGCCAAACACATAAGAACAGTAACCTGAGGTACAACGCCAGTTAGTTTGACAACTTGCCTAACTTGCATCTGTAAACACTTCTAGACTTTTGATTGACTTGTTTCTTAAGCAGTAAACCATGACCTAGTGTTCCTTTAAGATACCGTAGAATTCATGAGCAGCATCAAGATGGCATTGGGACAGTGAATGCATGAATTTGCTTACATAGTTAACTGCAAACGTAATTTCAGGCCTGGTATGTGCGAGGTATATCAATCGACCAACAAGACGTTGGAATCTCCCCCTACCGACTGGAACCGTAGAACTAGCATCAGACTTTAGAGAAGAATCCATAGGAGTAGAGGCGGCCAATAACCCAGCATCCCGGTGTCTTTGAGCAAGTCCAAGCTATATTTCCTTTGAGACAAACTAATCGTAGATTTCGTTCTTGCAATCTCCATTCCCAAGAAGTACCATAATGGACCACGGTCTTTCATTTGTAAGGAGCGAGCCAGATGGGCTTTAATGTTTGCAATGGCCATTGCATGATCTCACGTAAGTATATGTCGTCGACATATACGATTAGGATAGCAATCTTACCATGTTCTTTAAGGTAGAAAAGAGTGTGATCGACATGGACTTGAGCATACCCAAATGGTTTAACTGTATGAGCGAACCGATCAAACCGCTTTTAGGGACTGTTTGAGACCATAAATGGCCTTCTTGAGACGACAAACTTTAGGGCTACCATTTGAAGCATGAAAACAGGGGGTTAATCCATGTAGACCTCGTGTATGTTGCCATTTAAAAACGCATTTTTACGTCTAGTTGATGAAGAGGCCAATCAAAGTTGGTAGCAGTGAGAGGAGAACGCGGCAACCGAGGCAAATGTCTCCTGACAATCGATTTTGTATGTCTAGGTGTAGCCTCTTGCTGCTAATTGAGCCTCGTATCTTTCAATAGAGCCACCACTTTTGTACTTAACTGTGAACACCCATTTAACTGTGGTCTTACCGTGCGGGCGTTCAACCATAACCCATGTACCATCTTTTTAGGGAACGAAGCTCTTCAAATACCGCAGCCCACCACTTACCGTCTTGCAAAGCTTCATGAATATTGGCCGGTTCTTTTGTTAAAGACAGACTCGAAACAAGAGCCTTCATAGGTGGGGCTAGATTAGCATAGCCAAGAAAATCAGTAATAGGATGTTGAGTGCAAGAGTGCGTACCTTTTCTGAATGCAATTGGTACATCAAAATCAGATTTCTAAGGCAACTCTTGGTGTACCTTAGACTTTGGAGTAACTCCTTTCCAAAGTGGTGATGGAGAGATAAGGTCAACTGTTTCTAGAATTGTGGGTTTAAGTGAGGTGGTTTCAGGCTGGTTCTTTGGTGAGGTGAATCTGGATAGTTCTTCGGTGAGGTGATTGGAGGATCGAAAGCCCATAATTGTTCCCACCTTTCGATTCCTATAGGATAGGATGCCTTGGCTCTCTTGTTAGATTGATGAGAGTAATAGAATTGATCTTCAAGAAAGGTGACATCATGTGAAACTAATTATTTTTGTTCTTTTGGACAGTAGCATCGATATCCCTTTTGGAAGGAGGAATAACCAACAAAGACACCTTTCGCACTCCTTAGGTCAAGTTTGGACCTTTTTTTACTATGAACGTGAACAAAGACCGAGCAACCAAATACTCTCAGATCAAGATTGGAAGAGGCATAAGCCTTAGGGAAGGATATTTGTAGGACGGCTAGAGGTGTTTGGAATTTTAATACACGTGAAATCAACCAATTAATGAGATAGCAGGTTGTTAGAATTGCATCACATGACTTCGAAGGAGTAGGGATAGTGCTACCTCTAACAAGTGGCGCCATTTTGTTTGAGGGGTATTAATGCACGAGCTTTGGTGTATAATACCATGTCTTGTGATAAAGCTAGACATGGCCGAATTGAAATACTCGGTTTCGTTGTTTTGTTCGAAGGATTTTGATCTTTGCATCATATCATGTAAAGATAATCAAATGGAACTTTTCAAATATACTAACAACTTTAGGTTTGTTATGTAAAAGATAAATCCAACAAACTCGAGTATGATAATCAATGAATGAAATAAACGATCTTTTATTAGAAATTGAAGGGATTTTTGAAGGACCTCTATACATCACTATCAACTAGAGAAAATAGACTCGATGCACTATAGGTATGAATAGGAAACGGGACTCTAGTATGTTTGGACATCTGGCAGATTTTGCATGAAAAAACATCAGAATCATTAAACAAAGATGGAAATAGTTTCTTAAGGTGGAATTTATGGTAGTAGATCCATGAACTAGAAAGCTTGTAGCGGATTCGGATGGAAAGAAATCGTATAATCTAAAAGTCTTTTTAGCACTACCAATCGTCTCCCTGATACTTGATCCTGGAAAAACCACAGCTTTTTAAGACGGTGTTGCTATTCACGCCAATCATCTTCACAACGGAGTTACTTTTCACGTTGGAGTTATTGTTCATGCAGAGTATTGTTCACGCAAGAGTTTGTAAGAAAAAAAAATCAAGAAAAGAATCAAAGCTTTTTAGAGCTCTGATATCATAAAAGCTTTAGAGAAGTAGGAGGAATATTATTTTCTACTATATGTTGATTACAACACAAGGAACTATATATACAAGTAGATGTTATGAGATAGACTACAACTGCGTCTAAAAACATATCAATCTATAACTTATAATTCCCCCTAGCATGATCAAGTTGTATAGCTCCACAATCGTATCCATAATCACTATCACTTTTATCTTCCAAATCCACAAAAATATGAAAAATAAAATAGAAAACTGAAAATAATATAGAAAACAGAAAATAAAAATAATACAAAAAAACAGAAAATATACAAAAAAACATACATAGCATATTATACATATAGAAAACACATTATACATTATATAGAACATATAACTTGACTAAAATATACATAATATAATATATTATACATAAACTAAAAATATGGACACAACCTAAAAAGAACTTACTTTTTAGGTTGGCCTTTGAGATGAATATCTTCTTGAGAGAGGAAAAAGTAAGAAATGGAGAAGGAAAAAATGTTGTTTGGAGAGGCGTGCGCCTAAGAAACGCCTCAACGCACCACCTCACCAATTGAGGCTTAAGCCTCGTCCAGGGACCATGAGGGGTTTTGGACCTCCTCGAGGTGTACGCCTCAAACGATTTTGAAAACCATGGATGGGAATCACAAAATGGAGACGAGCAATGGAGCGCAATGGTCTACATCAATGAAGCCTTAAAAGTGTTTTCAGATGTTCAATTTTCCCTTTTAACATGACTTCATAACAAGCATGTCGTGTATCATCTCCAAGGATATTGTAAGCTCACCATGACCTATCCTTCCATATAAACTCAATTGGATGCTTCAATACTTGTAGACACTTATTTCCTATTTAACAAACCATTACCAGATTTGTTCACTCGAAGTTGTTGGTAATTCTTTATCTTTTGTAGAACTATGACCAAAACCAAACTTTTGAAAAACAAAAATGGTGGTTATATGTTTTACAACTTCTCTATATTGTTACTTATCTCTTTTCCCTCCCATATGAAGTGAGAAGCTCTTCCCACGTTTACTTTGCAGAACATTAAAATACTATGAACTACAACATGTATGTTTGGTAATCCACTTCCCGTGTAATATACAATATGGCCGTAGAATAGAAACACTAAAGAATAAAAATGAGCAAGAAAGCAAAGCAAACGAGAAAATGAAATCCTAAAACTATGTCCCTGGAAAATAACAAGGGAATTTATAAATACTTGTATACATCTGACGACATCTTAACCTATTCAATCTAAGGAGGTTTTTGGATCTGTGCTTTGAAGGTGATTATAGTAATCATTAGTTTCTAGTGTTTGGGTTATGTTTATGATCATTTCAAAGAAATCAATCCTAAGTAATTATTTTGATACTGGCTGCAACAATAAATGAATATCAAATGGTAGAATGAAATTACCTACTTGACCCTTATTTATCTTTACTTCCTTGATAATTAAAATTTGCCAAACACTAACACCATCAAAAGTGACTATTGGCACCTCAAGTGGCACAACTACCTCCAAACACTGTACAGCAGGCAGGTTACACGTTCCACTATGCCCAGATGACCCCAGGGTTCGAGCTAGCACCCTTGACAGACACTCCACAACCCACCAAAGCTAGTGAAAACCGGAGTCGGATGGTCCTCCTGGCATTTGACCGGAGGATTGATTATTCAATTTCTAATAATCACTTCCAGAAAAACACATCCAAACACCCCCTAAATAAAACATAAACTCACCAAAATTTTGTTTGTTATGAAGTTCAATCCTAAGAAACTTCTACAACCCTACCACACAGAATTTATTGCATAAAAAAAAGACTTGCACTTGAGAACATAGAAATGAAGGGGATATAGGTACCACCACCATCAAAGATGCAAGAACAAACATCAAAATAATACTGGCTCTCTGCCCTAGTAACGGTCCACTTTTCATTTTGAGAATTCAACTGTAGCACTTTATTACTTCAAAATTCCCATTGGATATTTTGTGTTTTTTAGTACAAACTTTTATTTAGCATAATAGATGTTTATTGTTTAACGTATGTATCAATTTCTTCTCTGCTGCCGCCACATATGTTACCACCTCCAAAGAAGTAAAACGAAAGCGACACACCTAAAATAACTATTGATTAAAAACTAAAAAGAAGAAGCATCATACCTATACTCTCCGGTACAGAACTGTCTGAAGTTCTCGGCCGTTTTGGGAGCGATGTCGGCGAAAAGCTCCATCTTGATACGGCCTGCAGGGATGGTGCCGATGGTTATGTCGAAGAAGACGATGGGGTTTTTAGCATTTGGAGGCCTCTGGTGCCACTCCACTCCCCCGTTCCCGCCTCCCCCCACCATTCCACTAGCCATTTTCTGCTATTCTGTAGTGTAATTGTAAACCCTGACCGAGGCATTTTGACAAATAAATTTACCGAAAAGAACCAGCAGAACCGGGTTTAAAAAATTCCAAATAACCGGTTGACCGGGTTTTAGCAAAGAAAACCGGTACGTAACCATTCAAGGCCAGGCTTTTAGGCCTGGACTTTTTTTGCGTTTCTTTTTTTCAACTTATTTTGGTTTTGGATGCCTGCTTTAATTGCTCAAAATAAAAAAAAAATCTATTACTTACAACAATGATAGAGGTTCATCAAAACAAGTGAATTGATCTGTCAAAAAAAAGGACTTAAACGTTACAAAAACATAAATCAAATACAACACAATCAAAAACAAATATTTATCAAATCTTATCCATCAAATCAATTCAATGTATTTCATAAACCCAAGAATGATGTGATGATTCACAACGATCAATAAAAACCTTGATGGTAAACAACAAACTCACGAGTAAAAATGCAAAAAAATATATATATATATACCACAAAAACAAGATGAATAAATGATTATTTTGTAAAAAAAGCAAAGTTATGAAAGAGAGAAAAAGTCAAAGAGTAATACCCACAAAAAGTACTTTTGATCCCAAAGATTGGCAAGTATGAAAAATCAAACAAATGAAAAGTTAGACTAGCCTATGACATATAGATGTGGTCAGTTTACAACGATTTCTACTTTGATTTATAAAAAACTATTTATAACAAGGAAGTTGTAGTTGTAAGTGCAAGTGTCTATTTTTTTCATCTATTCTAATCTGAGTCTTTTATTTGTATTTTTCATGTTGTTTGGGGACAAACAACAATTCTAGCTTAGGGTGTGATAAGCATCAACCTTTTTGATGCTTTTACACTGTTTTTTTACTTTATTTATCCGTTTTAGTTTCCCAAAATTCTACAAATTGAGTCTTTTTATTTTATTTTTGCATCTTTTTTATATTGGAGCTGAATTGATGTGATAAACATATTTACTTCATGGGTATGTGCTACTTTTGGGGGGGAAACTGTGTAAATAGGTGATTTAGCATAAGTATGCTACAATATGTGTTGCAGGATGATTCCAGAAGGATTTTAAATAATAGTACGAAGAATCTTTTGATGTTTTATCTTCCTTTTTGGCATTCCCATCTCCTACAGATATGAAGATTTCATAGTACAAGAATAAAATATTCTTTTGTACAATCTTTTGTGTAACATAGTTTTATCTTTTTGATATTGTAAAAAGTTGGATAATGGTTTTATCTTTTGGTCATTGTGTCCCCTTTTCCTACTATATAGAGGGGATACTTGGCATTTTAGACAAGCAATTTAGAAGTTAATTTGGGTATGAAAGTGTAGATGGAAGTATCTTTAAATTTTCTCTAAATTCAAGAAGTCTTCTTTAATCTTTATAATTCTCTTTAGCAATTATTTCTTTTATTTTCTTGTACTTTACTTCCTATTAATATGTTTTATTATTTATGCAAATAATTTTATTATTTCAAGTATGGTAAGCTAAAAATATAGTTTGGGTGTTGGGTGGTGTTAAGAGAAACACTGATTCCTTTTGTAGAAAATTATAACAAGTCTTTTCAACTACGTTATTCAAGTTTTTATTGCAAAAACATCATCCATGGACAAGTTGATCATTTGTTTAAAAGTGTTAAAATGTGTTGGATTTAGAGATAAACCAACAAGCACACATCAACTTGAATGATATGGAAGTAGGCTCGAGAGAGCTAATTAGAATCGAGGAGACTTGTTTTACTTCATTTGGCTTATGTAAGGAATAGTTTGAGCCAATGTCAAGCCTTCAGTCTTACATAGAGATACGAAGGCTTAATCTATGACTGTGCGTTATTCTACATCTCGAGAGAATACTTTAAAGAAACTATTAGATATAAGGATAAGTTATTTATAAAGCATGCTAAGAACCATATTGTAGCATGCTATCTATTTACAAAAATCGGTTGAATATCTTAGCAAATCCCTACACCCTAAGATCTCTTTTATTACTTGTTCACAACAGTAGTATTAAACCAACTCACCACAAATATTTCTTCGAACTAACCATCTGAAATCATATATTTACTTAGACTTTTAATGAACTTTTATTCCTTTACATGTGGACGATATTCGGTGGTTTTACCACTTTACTACTTGTAAAAGACAATAGCGGATTGATAAGTGTATACTTGCACTAATCTTCATTTACTAATAGTCCGAGAGATTTATTTTATATAACTCTCGTAACATAACACGACACATCAACTATAATACCTGTAGAATAGAATCTATATATTAAAACATACACATAATTGTAAGGTTTCTGTTGGGTCACCTATTGATTTGGTGATGACCCACTGATCTGTTCCTCTACCTTAGCAACACTTAGTAGTTATTGGTTCTTTGTAAGTTGGTGTCTTGGTACATACTTAAAGCCATTGGCAAAATCGAAGACT